AGCCACTGGCTCGGGGTCCAGCCACTGGGCTCGGGGTGAGCCACTGGGCTCGGGTCCAGCCACTGGGCTCGGGGTAGAGCCACTGGGCTCGGGTGCAGCCACTGGGCTCGGGGTGCAGCCACTGGGCTCGGGGTAGCAGCCACTGGGCTCGGGGCCCCCGGGGTAGAGCCACTGGGCTCGGGGTAGAGCCACTGGGCTCGGGGGTAGAGCCACGGGCTCGGGGCAAAGCCACTGGGCTCAGGGTGCAGCCACTGGGCTCGGGGTGCAGCCACTGGGCTCAGGGTGCAGCCACTGGGCTCGGGGTAGAGCCACTGGGCTCGGGGTGCAGCCACTGGGCTCGGGGTAGAGCCACTGGGCTCGGGGTAGAGCCACTGGGCTCGGGGTGCAGCCACTGGGCTCGGGGTAGAGCCACTGGGCTCGGGGTGCAGCCACTGGGCTCGGGGTAGAGCCACTGGGCTCGGGTGGGGTCGCAGCCACGGGCTCGGGGTAGAGCCACTGGGCTCGGGGTGCAGCCACTGGGCTCGGGGTGCAGCCACTGGGCTCGGGGTGCAGCCACTGGGCTCGGGGTGTAGCCACTGGGCTCGGGGTGCAGCCACTGGGCTCGAGGTAGAGCCACTGGCTCGGGGTCCAGCCACTGGGCTCGGGGTAGAGCCACTGGGCTCGGGGTGCAGCCACTGGGCTCGGGGTGCAGCCACTGGGCTCGGGGTGCAGCCACTGGGCTCTGCACATAGTGCCCACATCACACAGAACATTAAAATGATATTTACTTCAGGATAAAGGTGTGCTAAAATTACTATTTTTACTGTTTCTACTGTTTCATCTCTTTCACTCTCAAGTAAAATTGTTTTCTCCTTCCTTCCTTCCTTCCTTCCTTCCTTCCTTCCTTCGTTCCTTCCTTCCTCCTTCTTCCTTCCTTCCTTCCTTCCTTCCTTCCTTCCTTCCTTCCTTCCTTCCTTCTTTCCTTCCCTCTTTCCTTCCTTCCTTCCCTCCTTCCTTTCTTCCTTTCTTTTTTGAGAGCCCTGGTCCCGCCGCTGATCTGTGCACCGGCAGCTCTGCCCACCACGCTAGGTGCCAGCAGTCAAGCAGCAGGTGCAGGGGAAGAGGCCACCACATCTCAGTGTCACAGTGAAAACAGTTCCACCTTGTGGACCTCAGAAAGGGGCTCAGGACCCCCCGATTCCCCAAACCACCGGTTTACAATGTGGTGGTGACTCATTCGCAGCTGGGATCATTTTCCCCAAGAATATGAAAAATAGCCTGCATACACAAATTTAAATTTTCTGTTTTGTTGTGAAAACCATCTTGAAGAACATGGTTAGATCAGAACAAAGGTAGTGGACACACATTTTTCGATTTCAAAACTTTCTGCAGGTCTAGAGTCGGCGAGACAGTGTGGCCCCGGCCGGACAGACATGCTGAGAGTCCAGAGCATGTGACCATTTATAGCAAACTGAGCTGTGACAAAGGGGTCAAGGTGATTTCGTGGGAAAAGAACAGTCTTTTCAACAGATAATGCTGGGATGACTGAATGCCCACATGCCAGAGGATGACATTGGGCCCCTACCTCAAACCATGCACAGAAGTCCACTTGAACTATGAAAATTTAATTAAGAAGTAAACCTAAATGCAAGGACTAAAACTATAACACTCTTAGAAAAAAAACGTGTGACTAAGTCCTTGTGGTCTGGGTGAGTCGGTAGTTTCTGAGCTGTGACACCCCACAGGTTCAAGTGATAAGACAGACTGAGGAGCTGTCAGAAATGTGTGCTTCAAAAAACACCATCAAGAAAGTCCAAGGCAACCCACATACTGGGAGAAAATATTTGCAAACTATATATCTTATAAGGTACTCATATTCAAATATATAAGGACCATTACAACTCAAGAGTAAAAAGACAATCCAATTAAAAAACAGGCAATATATTTAAATAGACATTTCTCCAAAGAAGATAAATGAATGTCTAGAAAATGCAGGATGCCCGGCCGGTGTGGCTCAGTGGATGGAGCATGTCCCATGGACTGAGAGGTCCCGGTTCGATTCCCCGTCAGGGCACATGCCCGGGTTGGGGGCTCGATCCCCAGTAGGAGGCAGCTGATTGATGTTTCTCTCTCACATGGATGTTTCTCTCTCTCTCCCTTCCTCTCTCTCTAAAAAATCAATGAAAGCATATATTTTTTAATGCAGTAAAAGAAGCACAACATCATTCTTCATTAAAGAAATGCAATTCCGTGTCTGCAGCTCTTTCTGAATCTGTCCAGGAGGTCTCCTGGCCTTTATGGGAAGGCCCTAGAAAAAAAATACAATTCAAAACCATCATAACAGACTACTTCACACCCAGGAATGATTTTTAAAATCATAAGTAACAAGTATTAGCAACGATGTAGAAACATTAGAACCTTCCTACATTTTTACGGGAATACAAATGGTCCGGCCACTTTGGAAAACTGTTTAGAAGTTTCTCAAAATATTGAACACAGGGTTCCCATGTGATCCAGTCATCATCCTCCTAGGTATATGCCCAAGAAAAATGAGAACACATTTTTACCCCAAAACTTGTGCCTAAACATAGCTGCATTATTCATAACAGGTAAGAAGCAGAAAGAGCCCAAATGTTCATCAGCTGATGAATGGCTAAGTAAATGTGGTACATTCATATGAAGGAATATTATTTAGCAACAGAAAGGAATAAAATACTGAAACATGCTACGTGAACCTCAAAAGTGGTGTGCTGAATGAAACAACACTCCAGATATAGGGTGTCCCCAAAAAAGGTAGACAGGGTGTCTGTAGATTCTACTACATCTTGGAAATAAAATGTGTTTTAATAAACACTGGATTTATAATTATTCAAAGTTGTGTATACATTTTCGGGACAGCCTATATTACACAATTTCATTTACATGAAATGTTAGAATAGACAAATCTGTGAAGACAGAAAGCAGATTGCCTAGGACAGAGCAGTGGGGGACAGCGGGCCATGGGGAGTAAAGGGGTTTCTTTGGGGAATGACAAGAATGTTCTAGAATGAATCACGGAGCTGCTTGCACAACTTGGTAAGTATGTCTAAGTTTCAGCTCCTAAAGCTGCTAAATGTCAACATGTCTGGGCGAATAGCAACCTCATTCACATGGAAAGAAATAGACTCACCACCTTCCTTTCAACAATTTTCTGTAACTAGAGTCCACGAATATTTGATTTTCTTTACATCTGCACTGAGATTAGTCACCAGAACCAGAATCTGGGTACGCGGTCGCTGCAACCCCAGTTGAGTGATCTATGATGCACTCAGGAAAAGGAAACACAGGGGGCTCGGGAGGAATCCGCTCTAGGCCATGTGACTTCGGGGAAAGCAAGCCCCTGTCTGAAGCCATCAGGGTGTCATCCTGGGAGATGACGAGTTCACCACCAAACATCCTGGCAGGACCACAGGTGTCACAGTAAGAGTCACATCCTCAGCTTGAACGAGAAGGGAAGACCGTTCTAATAGAAAGGACCCGCACACTGTTCCTTCGGGGACTGGGCTGAGCCGCAGCAGGGCGACGGCCACCAGTGAGCCCCAGACAGCCGTGTCTGCCTCCTGGTACCCTCTGTAGCTACATCCAGGGAGAGGAAGAAAGGAAGGGAGGGGGAGGGGACCCAGGAATACCTTCATGTCTGTGTGTGGGCAGCTGGACAGTTAGCAGAGGAGGGCCAGGCCCGGAAGGTCACCAGGGCGGAAAGCCCAGGTGCCTCGCAAGGGTCCCCCCCACCGGTGACCCTCCCCTCCCCCCGCATATCGCTGCTCACGCGGTTTGGACCCCCTCACCTTTCGTGCGCTCTTCATGTGATTTGACCCCCTGACCCTGTCCTCCCTGAAGAGGACATCTAGGCCCCAGGTGTGTTTCAGCTCCAGGCCCGGAACAGCAGCAGAAGTACACACGCGATGGCATGGCTGCCTCCTGACCAGCCACACTGACCAATGACCCCCTGCCCTGGCGCCCACCCACCAGTGGAGCCCACGACCGTGAACAAGTGCACCTGGAAAGGTGATGAGCACCGCTGAGGTCCTTCCCCAAGACCCCCCACCAAACTCTCAGCCTCTAAACCCCTCAACACAAAGGACCCAGGGCCCACGCTCCCTCCGGGGAGCACGCCCCGCTGCTCCCTTCCCCCATCTACCCCACAGGCTGCATCTCCTAAACTCTAAGGGTCCCCACAAGACTTGCAACCAGGGGAGCAGTGGACAGGGGCACCGGTCCCAGGCTCACCCCCTGACCCTGTCTCCAAGACCCCCTTCTCTGACATTTCAGTGAGCCAGAGCAGCCCGCCCAGGGCTCCCGTAGCTGCTTCTACGCCGAGCCCCCCTGGGCTCTGTCCCCAGCGATCATGAGCGGCCCACCGAGTGCGGTTTTGCTGCGGCCAGTAGAGTCGGCTCTGCTGCACACCGCCCCTGGGCTGAGCCCTTCCTTCAAGACCAGAACCGAGGTCTCGTCTGGCCCGTGGCCCACCTGACGCTGTGAAATCCGCCCGGGGAAGCCTAATCCGAGGTCTGGACAGAGCCCCGTGCCCCCGCCGCCAGCAGCGTCTGCCCACAGCTGGCAAAGCCCGGGCACCCTCAGCCCAGGTGGGGAGGGCACCGCAGGCAGGAGCTTGCGGGTGAGCCAGCCCCTCGCCCCTGAGCGGCTGCTCTGTCCACAACCCAGAGGACGGCAAAGAAGGCCGGGGGTGACCGTGTTCTAGGACATTCTCTAAAGCTCGAATTCCAGTCTGAACGGGCGCTCCCATGCGTGGATATGGACGATAATATTGTTCATGCCGAACCCTGGGACCCTCGCGCCGCCCGCGCGTGGGGTTGCAGCCCCTCCCCGCGCGCCCACGGCAGCTCACGCCCTGCTCAGGGGCTGGTCTCGGCCGCGGTTTCGTTTCCTGAGGCTCCACTTTGAAGGGCAACCACATCCTCTGTGCTCAGCATATAGCGCGGCCGGGCCAGGGCTGAGAACAGATTTCACCGACGGGCTGGGCTCTGCCGCCGCGATGAGCCCCTGCGTGCCCCTGGCGTCCTCTCTGGCCGCGGCCGCCCTTCTCCTGCTGGTTCCCGAAGGTAAGGCCGGTTCTCGGTTCTCGTCCCCGGCGCCCTCGGGCAGCCTGGCGTGAGCCAGCTTCCAGCGGCTGGCTGCGTGTGCCGGCAGACCCCTCCTGCACCTTCGCCGTCCTTCTGGGACCACACACGTGTCTTTATTTTAGAAGGAGAAACATCCTTCTTTCTTCTTTACGATTTCTTTCATTTTTTTATCCTCACCTGAGGACATTTTCACATTTATCTTCAGGTAGAGTGGGAGGGAGAGAGGGGGGAAGAGAGAGAGAGACACATCAAGTGGCTGCCACCCACACGACCCCAACCAGGGCCGGGGACAAACTGCAACCGAGGTACGTGACCTTCGTGGGAACCGAACCCGGGTCTCTCTGGACCCCAGGCTGACGCTCTAACTGCTGAGCCAAACCAGCTGGGGCTCATCTTTACAATTTCTTCACCAAAGATCAGGGAACCACCCATGCGTGTTGCTGCCAATTTGTAAGACCACCAAAAAGGACATTGTGGGAACAAATAACCCAAAGCTCCAAGGTTGGGGACAGAAGCAGTACCTCTCAGGGAGGGAGGACAGGGCCGCCGCCTTCCGTGCGACAGGAAACGCAGGTGCCGTTAATAACAGGAACGCGCCTGACCGACACCTGTGACAGGTCAGGGGTGATTAGAACTTTTCCACCGCCTCTCTAGGCTGCCCTGCGGAGAGTTAGGACACTGGGCCTGTGCCCGCATCAAGGCTCCGGAGCGCTGCAGTGCTCCGCAGTGAGCTGATTCTTGGCGGTACCAAGTACTGACCGATATGCCTGGTTTCACCGGAGTCCCAGGCGCATCGGCAGAAACGCCGGGAAGCCCATGGTATTCTCACAGGGAGGGTAGCGGCCCCGGGGGGGGCTCTAGATCTTCTCCGAAACCCTCCTCGGAAGTGAGGGCTGCCCCAGGGCTGGCTGCGCTGCGTGGGCGAGTGTGGAGCTGAGCGGGTTTTCCCCGGGGTCAGCTCTGGGGGCGGGAGTGGAGCCGGGGTAACGATACAACACCCTGTCTTGCCAGAAATTCCCAAGGAGGCTCTCTGGTCCACCTTGCACCTAAAAATGAGAAGACATTTGAAAAATCCAAGGTTGCAGGTCACTCGGGACAAAAGCGTGGGCACAGCCTTGTGGGATGATGCTCAGGCGTGTCAGGGTCTCCACACAGCGAAAGCAGAGCAGGTCAACCCCAATCCTCTCTTTTCTCCCAAGGAGGCAGCCAGACCTGCCTGCTCTGCTCCGCTCGGCCCCCCGCAGTCAGGGAGAGCGGTGTGGGCGCAGCGAGGCTCGGACCCCGCAAAGCAAGGCTCGGTGACGTGCACCCAAGCCTCCCACACCCAGCAGAACACTCCAGGGGCTTTCAAACAACACTGACATCCCAGCCGCAGCAATTCCAGTTCATTTAGATTCTGGGTGGGGACCAAGAATTGCTAGACTTTCCAACCTGTTCTAAAGCCTATCCCTGCCCTTCAAGGAGTGGGTGGTGGTGGGAGCCATGGACTTTTTCCAAGGTGGTGTGTGTGTTCACCAAACAAGGGACTCTGCGAAACAGTGTTCTCGTGAGTTGATTTCTGTAGCCGGAAGGTCCGGGGATGCACCTTGGGAGTCTATCTTTACGGGACACACCCAGGGAAAACTGTGACAGAGGTGAAGTTCTCTTGGTGTCTCCTTTGACTTCTACAGACTAGCATTGCCCCTTCCCAACTCCCTTGTGGAAAGTGGAGCCCTCGTGGTCATCCTGTTCCCCTCCCCCTCACTCGTGTCGTTTGTACCTTATTGTGAATCTGGTGGCGAGTTTGGTTTAAGAGTGGAGTGCCAGGCACTGTGCCCCGGTGAAGGAACCATGACCTGAGCCAGCAGTCAGAAAGCTTTTAGAGGACTCCAAGAACTGCAGGTGCAGGAAGGGGGACAGCTGACCCGCAGGTGCAGGAAAGTGGGCAGCTGACCCGCAGGTGCAGGAAGGTGGGCAGCTGACCCGCAGGTGCAGGAAGGTGGGCAGCTGAGAGTATCTCATGAAGCCCAGGATCTTCGCAACCAACGTGGCTGGTTTGCCTGCGTCCAGGTCTCCTTGTTCTCTAATGAGGAAGCTGTACTCCTGGTCTATCATCAGGGAACTCTGACGAAGGCAGACTTTTCTCCAGTAGTGTCTTCTCCCTTCCTTTCCCCTATTTTGTTGGGAAAGAGCTGGAGACAGAAGGGAACCTCAGGAGCAGTTGGTACGATGCCCTCGGTTTATGAATGAGGAGAGTGCAGATTTCAATAAAAGGAAGTCTCACCATGGCCGAAGACCTCACAGGCAAGGTCACAGCTAAAGGGTGTGCTAATCTCCGTTCGTAAGCTGTGTGCTTCTGCAAGGACTTGGGGTGAGAAGGACAGTTCTCAGGCTTCTGAAAGGCTTTCTCCTTCCCGGATCAACACTCAGCCCGAAAGGGGGAGGAGTGGGAGGCGCTTGTCACCATCACCAGCGGCTCTCGTAGCAGCTGTTGCCTGGAGACCAATGCACAGCTGTCTGCCCTCCGCAAGCCCTGAGGCCAGATTCCCAGCCCGATGCCCTGGAACTGTCCATCATGGGGCTTCTGGGTCAAAGGGCAGGACCTCGGAGAGTCCACCAGGCAGGAGACTCAGGTCAGAAACCTGGACGTGTGCGTGGGGCCGGGAGCACGCCCTGGCCTGCGTGTCCTCTCCCAGCGGGAACAGCATGCGTGGTCTAGAAACAGCCTCTTGGCAGAGCGCCCTGGGGTGAGCACCCACAGGATTTGCCTTCTTCTCGTTAACAGGTCTCTGTGGAAGAATTATTGGAGGAAACCCAGTAGCTCCTCATTCCAGACCCTACATGGCGCTGCTGACGGGGGAGGGGCTGTGCGGCGGGGCTTTGATCGCCGATAGATGGGTGCTGACAGCCGCTCACTGTAAACTGTAAGTTCTGGGTTCACAGTGAAATTCTAATTTGGGTGAATGTTAATTTAAAAAGTCAATTCCACTAAAGGCTTGGGAGGCTCTTCATGTCTCTGGGAACTTGCTTTACCCCAAGCAGGAGATGAGTCCAGACTGGGCTCCAGGGAAGGAGCCGCCAAAGAACCGGCACCCACAACTCCATCCGTGGTCCTGCTGGGGGGTCCTGGGCCGGGTGGGAAAGCCTTTGCTTCTGGCCTCGATTCCTGACCTTCCTGACCGGGGAGAAGGAGCCGAGTCCCCAGGCCCCGGGGGGATGGGAGCACAGCTGTCAGTCCAGAAAGCTTGTTTCAAAGGCCTGTGTCCCCTCCGGGGGTCTCCCTCCACCTGCAGCATCTCTGCGGGATGTCACCCGCATACTTCGGGGGACTGCTCGTCTCCAGCCCTTGAGTCAGCCCCGAAACCTGGCCTGTCCCCTGTGATGGCCGCCCGCGCACTGGCGAAGGGAATCACACGTGCCATCTAAATCTAAACGCGTTAAATGCCGATACAGTTACACGTGTACTTCTCAGTCCCTCCCGCCCGTCCTCGGCAGCCACGTGTGGCCGATGACTCCGTGTGGCACAGTGCGGATCGACGGGACACTGCATCATGCATCTGCTCTGCTGGACGCCCTGCTGTGACGTCTCCCGTGACACTGACGTCAGCTCACGCAAAGGAACCGCGCAGTGCTCGGCCAGTGTGGTCCACGCTCGCTTGTGCGTGATACAAGCCTAGCCATTCATACGTCGGGGACTATTTTCATTGTATTGCTCAGAAATGAACCTTGAGCACAGAGTAAGAGAATTGATTGGGCTCCTCCTTCAGACAGCCATGCCCCATGTACACACACTCAGTGTCACGCAAACAGGGTCCTTCCCTGGACAACCTATTTCTGAAAGTTTTGCCATTAAAGGTGAGTTTGTTGCTGTCCTACAGAGATGCCTTCAGGGAGTCACTCTGCAAGGATCAAGCGGCTTTGCTTCTGTCCCTAGCCTAGAGACCTTTGTTCCGTAGACACCTGCAGCTTGACTCTGTCACGGCGAGAGGGGGTGTGCACTGAGTCCCCAGCAGGGTTCTCAAGACGTGGCTAAGCCCCCATGGAATTCTTATTACTTGTCTCCGATAAACCCGGGTTAGCTTGTTATAAATATGCGGGTGATGGCAGCGGTGAGAGTGACGATGACAGATTCACAAACATCTTGTTATTCTTCAAAGTGCATCTTTGTTTTCTGAGCTGTGAACAAGTATTTCCAGGACAAGCATGTTTGTGAAGGGGACGATGGAACATTTCAGCGTGCCATCTGCCCAGCTCCTGGTGGAGAGAGTCAACCCACTCACGGTGCCGTGCCTGTTTGCAGGAACAAAACGTCCCGGGTCATCCTTGGGGCTCACTCAAGAACCAAGCACGAGCCAGAAAAGCAGATCATGTTGGTGAAGGGACAGTTCCCCTACCCATGCTATGACAAGAACACACATGAGGGCGACCTGAAGCTTCTAAAGGTGCATACCTTCTTATTGTATTTTGATAGATGTAAAATCCATAGGCTCTCCTACAGACAGTCTGGCCACCTGCATGGTAAGCATCCTTGGTGCCCCCATAGCGACAGACTATAGCTACATCAGGGGGCCTGGGGGTTACAAGAACACAAATGCGTTCATTATCTCATTCTGTTAACTCTGTGCGTGTCTCCCAACAGCTGGGGAAGAGAGCAACAATAAATAAAAACGTGGCTATCCTTCGTCTCCCTAGAAGGGGCAGTGATGTAAAACCAGGAACCAAGTGTCGAGTTGCGGGATGGGGGTTGTTTCACAACACGTTGTCATCTGCACCTGATACTCTGAGAGAAGTCAATGTCACCATCATAGACAGAAGAACCTGCAATGACCAAAATCACTACAACTTTGATCCTGTGATTGGACTGAATATGATTTGTGCTGGAGACCTCAAAGGTGGAAAAGACTCATGCAACGTAAGTACACAATGACCCCGCATTCTGGCTGTTGGGTTAAGCGGTGCAGAAATAGGAAACACAGTATCATGCTTCGTCTCCTGGTGGCTTTGGCTTCTGTGGAGTCCTTGTGCTCAGCTAAGGGGGTTGTTCAGCAAAAGTAACATGTTTGCTGCTAGTGCGTGGGTTGACCTAGGACAGCTTCCGGATTTTATATCAAAACCACTCAAGAAGGCCCTGGCCGGTTTGGCTCAATGGTTAGAGCGTGGGCCCATGGACTAAAGGGTCATAGATTCGATTCCCAGTCAAGGGCATATGCCAGGGTTGTAGGTTCAATCCCCAGCTCCGGTCAGCATTGTGTCGGAAGCAATTGATCAATGTGTCTCTCTCACATCAATGTTACGTTCCCTCTCTCTCCCTTCCTCCCTTCCACTCTATTAAGAATCAATGGAAAAATAGCCTCGGGTGAGGAGTAACAACAACAAAATCCACCCAAGAAGCAATGTGTTTTTTTCTCATTCTTTGTATTAACATAGGTCCATCTACATTTAAAAGTATGTAACCCTCAGGAGAGCCCCAGTCGGGGTTCCTCCAGGGCCTTCTGGGCCCTTTCCCCCAGCTCTCGGCACACCCCAAACTTTCCTCAGCCGTGGAACCCGGCAAGTCTAGAATGTCTGTCACTCCCCCCTGACTGAGGATCTCGGCAAGACCCCAGAGCTCCCGAGATCCAAGTCCGGTCCCCAGGAAACTGCTTCCAAGCATGACCCTCACAGAGCATGGGTGGCCTCCGTACCAGCGTCCCGGAGACGAGATGGGACAGGGCCCCATGTGAGACAAGGAGAAGAAACACGTTACAGATGTTTAAGCTCCGAGTGCTGGCTTGTCGCTTCCCACCTTGTCCAAAGACCCTGCGGAGCCTCCTCTGGAGGGGAGCACGCTGCGTGTGTGACCCAGAGGTCTCTCCCTTCCCCAGCAGGATCTGAATGGCTTGCCTTCGGGACAAGGCTAGGCAGATCCCAGGAAAAGATGGCATTCGTCTCCAGAACCCTTGCACTTCCTCGCGTTGCCCTCCTCACCCCACCCCTGCCCCGTTGTCCACACTCTCAGAACCCACACGAACATCCTGAGGCCGTGGCAGCATCCGAAGACGCCTGCCACCTGCCACCCTCTGCCGTCCAAGCTGAGCAGTCCTCTGCCTGTTCTCCCAATGGCTGGTGATGAATTAACCACCAGGGCTCAGTCTGGGATTTCCAGGCCCATGTTCAGCAGGAGAAATATGTCTGTGTGGGGAGGACCCTGCTTCTCACTTCACACCCCATCGGCCAACTCTTGCCGGGAAAGGGGCAGGCCCGGTGCCCGCACACTGCTGGGCCTCGGAGCCTGGCGGGGCCGGGCTCTGCCCACAGACAGGCGTGGCCCTCCATCCTGCACCACCGGCCCAGACTAGACCTGGAATAGGTTAAAACAGGTGGATTCTGGAATTCCCCAGGAGAGCACAAGGTCACAGGCTGGGAGGCACAGTCAGGAGGAATAAAACGGTGGCACGCAGCTCCCTGGAGCCTCTCTGCTGTGCGGTCCCTGAGCTCTGACGGAATTGTTATCAGAGAATTGCATGAACGGCCTTTCTCTGTTGTAGGGGGAGTGGGGTTCTTGGGGTACTGCTGGAATAAGCATTTTCAGAGGCCCCCACAGGAGGATGAGATGTGGTTGAAAGCTTTATTTTCATGGGATTAGATCCCTGGGTTTGCCAAGTCCCATTTCCCTCAATCCCCTCCTGGAGGAGGTGCGGCTGGGGGTTCAGCAGAGCCAGTGTCAGAGTTTCTGTTCCCGGGGGGAATCGGGTTCAGCACAGCATCAGGGTAGTTGCAGCCCATCAGACCATCGTGTAGAGTCCACAAGGCTACGGGCGAATGCAGGGGAGCCCAGAGAACACGCCCTCTGCAATGAGAGTCCCAGGAGTCCCCAAGACACAGAGAGTGAACCCCTTTGTTCAGGGGATTAAATCTCTCAAATCTTCCTGTGCTTGCAGTGGCCACGCCTAGTCTGGCCAACGGCCTGTTCCCAGGTGTGACTGACAGGCGAGGACCTTCCTGTGTCACCCAGACTCTACTGGGCGTGCGTCTGCTCTCCCCAGGTCCAGTCCCGTCCCCCGTGTCTGTGGGGAAGAGACAGTGTCTCCCCGGGGACTGTCCACTGTGGCTTCCTGGCCAGCTGCACACCTGGCAGTGACATCTGGCCCCCCCTGCTCCTTTCCAGTCATTCGTAACTAGGTTAGTTACAGCTATCAGAATCACTGGTTTCGGGACCTTCCCTCCAGTATCAGATGCGACTTAGGGAGAAGTTTTTGTCCGTTGGAGAGGGTGAAAGGAAAAGTCGCTTTCGTCTTTGTTTCCTTGAGAAGGTAGTGATCTTCCGGAGAAACTAGAGAGCAGGGTTTCTGCGCGGTGCCTCCCAGTCCCGTCGGCACGTGATGGTTTTCCCCGTGAGTGGTTCAGCATTTTGAGAAAATGACAAATGGAAGGTTTTGTTTTTTAAAGCCGAGAACTGGTTTCAGAATTACAGCTAACATAAACAACAATAACAGTTTCATTTTCACTGGTCTGTAAGTAAATTAAGTAAGCCAGTTTAAAATGTTAACATAGTCTCCACATTTTGTTGTTTAGTTTTTATCCTCACCTGAGGACATTTTTCCAGTTTTTGTTCAGATACAGTGGGAGGGAGAGAGAGAGAGAGACATCGACGTGAAAGGGACACATCGAGTGGCTGCCTCCCACATGACCCAACCAGGGCCGGGGACAAACCGCAATCGAGGTACGGGCCCTTGACCGGAGTCGAACCTGCAACTCATTGGTCCACGGGCCGGCGCTCTAACCGCTGGGCCAAACCAGCCAGGGCTGTTGATTTTTTAAGCTCTAATTTTCAATTCAGCGAAGGTTGGTCTTCACTCCACACTGAGTGGAATTCCTTCTGCTCTGCAATGGTCACAAGAAGCGCTAACCCCACCCCTTGTCTTCCCCCAGGGGGACTCTGGAGGCCCCCTGATATGTGACGGCACCTTCAGAGGAATTACGTCCTTCGGCAAAGCGGGAAGATGTGGGGACCCCAGAGCACCTGGCGTGTATGTGCTGCTCTCACAGAAATACCTCGACTGGATCATCCAGACCATGCAGGGGGCAGTTTAGATCTCTGTATTTCATGTCATTTGCTGTCACTTCTTCATCGTTCATAAATAAAATCAATTCTCATGACTGTGCCCAGTTCTGTCCGATGACGTCTGTGGGCAGATCTCCACCAGCAACGTGAGGCAGAGTAGCAGAGTGACCCAGTAAGGAGCACAGGGAGAGACTGGGGACCAGTGTCGCCCCTGCGTCAGGTGCCCCTCCCTGTCTCAGTGGGACCCAGCAGGTGGCACCCGGTCGGCCGGTCTCATAGCGAATGCTGTGAGGGGCCCCGCAGCTCCACCGGAAACAGGCCACCAGCCTGGAGCACTGACTGCAGGGACACGTTTGCCTTTCCGAGCCCACGTTCCACAGTGGCACCTGCCGTGCGGGCGTGTGCTACACCTGGGTGCGTGGGAGGACGGCAGCTGGAAATGCCTTCGCGCACATTCCAAAGGCCGGTGAGAAATAGAAATGAGAATTCTGGGGACACAGACGGAGCCCTGGGCCAGCCAAGGGGAGCTGGCGACAGAAAGCCCGCCTCCTTGCTCAGCGGTGTGCACTGCAGCCTGGGTTCTCCAGCCGAGTCCTGGTCCTCCTCGTCCCTGGGCCTCGGCGGGGCCAGGGAGCAGGGTGTCACAGTGGCCGCCATCCCGCAGTGGGGAGTGAGTGTGAACTGTGGCCGGGCAGTGTCCTTGAGCAGACGCCCAGCTGTTTCGTCAGCACATCGAGCGTCGTGGATCCTCGGTCACTGGCCCGGCAGCTGCTTCGAGGTGTGATGGTGTGAAGAGAGTCCTTGGGTTTCCGTCGGTTCTGTCGGGAAGAGGAGTTTTATGTGCATGTGGACATGTGGACGAACACACACACACACACACACACACACACACACACCAATGTACACCTGAACCAAGAACATACAGCAACACCGAGACAGCCTCTTAAAGCAAGAAAGGGACAACTGGCCGAGATGCCAGTATTGGCTTCCACCCACGTGCCCACTAGACTTACCCGGCTCCTTAAAAGTACCGATGCCCAGGCCCCACTGCCGGACATTTTATGGAACTGGCATTCCGTGGGGCCAGGACGTAGTATTCCTCGCAGGCTCCCCAGTGGCTCTGCGTGCAGCCCGGGTGGGAGCCCCGGAAAGTGAGTCCTGGCGCTAATGTCTAAACGAGGCCCCGAGAGGGCCCCTCGGGTGGTACCTTGCACCCGCTCTCATCCAGCGCCTGGTAGGGTTTCCGCCGCAGCAGGAGGACGGGCTGCCCCTTTTGACAGTGTCACAGACTCCGTAGTCCATGCACAAGGCAGTTATGTGGCACCCTGGGCGTTGCTGGTGGAGGTGTAAATTGGTTCGACTCAGGAAGATTGGCAGTGCCCATTAAAACTGAACGTGCACAAATCCCAGGACCTAACTACTACTCAGTGGTGGGTATACACCCAGCAGAAACGCGTCCTTCTTTTCACCAAAGGTGTGTCTAGAATGTGTACGGGAGCTTTATTCTTAGAAGTCAAAACTGAAAACAGCCCTGGCTGGTTTGGCTCAGCGGTTAGAGCATCGGCCTGCGGTCCAGAGAGACCCGGGTTCGGTTCCCGCTAAGGGCACGTACTTGGGTTGCAATTTGTCCCTGGCCCTGGTTGGGTCGTGCGGGTGGCAGCCACTCGATGTGTCCCTTTCACATCGATGTTTCTCTCTCTCTTCCTCTCTCTCCCTCCCGCTATATCTGAATCAAAAAATGGAAAAATGTCCTTGGGTGAGGATAAAAAAAAAAAAAAAAAACTGAAAACAACTCAAATACCCACCCACAATACAATGGATAAACAACTGGTGTACCTTCATGTGAAGGAACATTACATAGCAAATAAAAAGAACAAACTGCGGTTACATGCAGCAATGTGAATTCATCTTACAAACTTAATGGTGAGTAAAAGAAGCCCAACAGGAAAATAGTATTTTCTGTGTGATTCCATTTATCTGAAGGTCGGCATAAGGCACAACTAACCCACGATGACAGAGGTCAGAATAATAAAAGGGTGTGGACTGGGAGGAGGGGGAGAGGAGCAGGAGGGGACAAAGAGGAGGGGAGAGGAGGGGAAGAGGGGGAGAAAGCAGGAGGGGGAAGGGGAGGGGAAGGAGGAAAAGGGGGGAGGAGGAACAGAGGGAGGGATGAAGGGGAGGAGGTAAACAGAGAGCGGAATGAAGGGTCAAAGACAACACCTGGGACACGCAGGGGGAGGAAGCAGAGCACAGAACCTGAGCAAGAAGATCAGAACAGGCATTGCCCTCAGGCCAAGCACCTCATCTAGTTCGATCCCCACAACTGCCCCACGCAGAAGACAGGCCCAAACCGTTCCTGTCACTGAGAAATGAGGAAGCTGGAGCTCAGGAAGTGGCTGGCAGCAACGCCGCACACAGGCTGTGCCATTATCCCCAGCGGCAGAGAGCACGCAGTTCTGGTCTGGACTCAAAGCTGGGGGCAGCACTCAGCCCCGGTGGTCTGTGGGAGTGATACCATTGTAATTAGCTAGTTATTAATAATAGGAAAGGAGCAACAGGGAGACCAGACATTATAGGCATGTCATTCAGGCAGCTTCGCCAGGAAGCTATAATCTCACACACCCCAGGGAACCACTGGCCCATTCCCTGCAGATCACTGGGGGAAGGGGTCCAACTAAGGGGAGATGGGTAAATGCACAGTGAGTAGTGGTGACCTAGGGAAGGTACTTGTCAATCAAACCTGGGAACAGAAATCATTGCTTAGGCCCTGGCTGGTTTGGCTCAGCAGTTAGAGCGTCGGCCTGCGGTCCAGAGAGACCAGGGTTCGGTTCCCACTAAGGGCATGTACCTCGGTTGCAGTTTGTCCCCGGCCCTGATTGGGTCGTGCGGGTGGCGGCCACTCGATGTGTCCTTTTCACATCGATGTTTCTCTCTCCTCTCTCTCTCCCTCCCTCCCACTCTATCTGAACAAAAATATCAAAAAATGTCCTTGGGTGAGAATAAGAAAAAAAAAGAAAAGAAATAAATCATTGATTAGAAGAGGTGGGGCCAGTGCAAGCCCCTGAATATTTGGGGGATACATAATCCCCTAAATGAAGGAGCTCTCTCTCTCTCTCTTTCTCTCGGTGTTCTTGGCTCGTTCCTGCTTTGTCGCGTTTGCCCGTGTTTCTTCCACGTGCAGCTGGAAATGCTGACTCAGCTGTCCTGACGCGGGATTGGTCGGCGCCCTAACAGGAAACGGAACTGCACACTGGCTCTGATTCTAGCCCTACTGAAGCCATGGCTACGTGTCTTCCTTGGTCCAACAAAGGGAAATGGGACCTTGGAAATTCAGGGGTGTCATTCCACAGAAATACAGCTTTCTACACACCTCATCCTCCCACAAGTCTCAGAAAATTCCTTTTCTTGGGATATCCCAAGAAGCCCCCTCCCATGAGCGACGGGTGGGGATGTGGCCCGCTCCCCACTAACAACAAGGAAAAGGAAAGACCGCCGGTGTCCACTGTCCTGAGCTGAGGACCAGGAAGCCACCTGGGTGGGGTCACAAATCCCTTCCCAGAACAAGGGCTCCTCTCAAACCAACCGCCGTTGGGGCTGGCCCGCTGCACCTGTGCTGTGGTGAGCCCCGTCGGGCGGACCCCAGCAGCAAGGCAAGGTGCTAAGGTGTCGTCAGTCTCCCCTCACACTGGCTTCCTGTGGCTGCCATGCCAACTCGCCACAGACCACCCGGCTTCAGACACCAGAAATGTATTCTCTCTCAGCGCTGGGACCAGAAGTCCAAAACCAAGAAGTCAGCAGGCTGGCTCCCTAGGGAGGCTCCAGACCCCAACCCTGATGGCCGTCCTTAATCTGTGTCTACCTCCCTCCAGTCTCTGCCTCTGTGGCCGCAGGGCCTCCTCTCCTGTGTGTCTCCTAGAAGGACACTTGTCATTGGATCTCAAGCCCATCTGGATAATCAGGATGATCTCATCTCGAGACCCTGGACTTCACTACATGAGCAAAGACACTTTTTCCAAAGAGGGCCACATTCGCAGGTTCTGGGGATTTGATCTGGCTATATTTGGGGGACCGTTTTTAGCCCACCACACCCCTTCGGCCCCATTTGTCAAGAGTTCTGGCTTCTCTGATCCACCAATACCCAGGAACTGTGTTCTTCTCCATCTCTCTTCTCCTTTTTTTTTTTTTTTTTTTAATCCTCACCCGAGGACATTTTTCCATTTTTTGTACAGATAGAGTGGGAGGGAGAGAGAGGAAGAGAGAGAGAGAGAGAAACATCGATGTGAAAGGGACACATCGAGTGGCTGCCACCCACACGACCAACCAGGGCCGGGGACAAACTGCAACCGAGGTACGTGCCCTTAGTGGGAACCGAACCCGGGTCTCTCCGGACCGCAGGCTGACGCTCTAACCGCTGAGCCAAACCGGCCAGGGCTCCATCTCTCTTCTTACTCTCCCCCAAGATCCATCCCCTTGGGACCCAGGTTCATGAAACTAGCCAAATAAACTGCTGCAGCTTCATGAGAAAGGACCCGGAAAGCTTCCCCACTAATCATACGCGAGTGTCATTTATGGGCTTCTGGGGACAAGGCCCTCTCTCTGGCATCTGTCGATGGTTCTCAGAGCTCCTTCTCGGAACAACAGTTCTCTATGAGATTAATAGGGATTAAACAGCCAAAGACTGTTCAATATTTGCATTAATTTGGGAGCTCCGGGTTAAGAAAATTAAACAGGATTCAAGACTGCTATATGCACTGTAAATACTTGGGACAAGAGGCTAGAATGGCAGTATTTCTGAAACTTATTTCACCAGAGTCCATTTGACTTGAGTATGTCAAGCAACTAGTGTTCCTCAGAAGATACTCCATGTACACTACTCCACGCCTGGAGGGCACAGGTATACACTACTCCACGCCTGGGGGGCCCAGATGTACACTACTCCACACCTGGAGGGCACAGATGTACACTACTCCACACCTGGAGGGCACAGGTATACACTACTCCACACCGGGGGGCACAGGTGTACACCACTCCATGCCTGGGGGGCACAGATGTACATTACTCCACGCCTGGAGGGCACAGGTGTACACTAC